GGTATATCCTTGACTGGACTGGATGATCTCTAGAGCTTCCCTCCAACCTAAATTTTTGTATGAACCTATGACTACATAAAGACCTCTGTCACGTTGACATAAATCCTGTGATGTCACTGTGTGAGCTCATATCAGTCCCTTGATGTCATAATATCAGTCTGGTGGGGTTCATTTCTGTTCCTATTTTATGTCAATCTTGACAGAGACTGAAAAGTTTTAAATCAAAACATTGTGTTTGCTGACCTACTCTAAGCATGACTGCGGTCACATGTTAAATGCTTATTACATTAATTGCTTTTTTTTGGAGAGCTTACCTAATACAGCTTGATAACAATTTTTCACAGCAACTGTAGTTTCATAACTAATAACACTAGTGTCACCTGTATTACGCAGAGTTCCAACGTTTTTGACTTACCTATATGGCCTCTTATTCAAGTGGAGTTACTTTAGAAGTGTCTTGGAATATGTATATCAGTTATATGCGGCTTGTATGTGTTTCTTCTTGGGTGAAATGAAAAATTTAATTATATGAAAAAAATGCAAATTGCTGCCAACTGTGTTAACTGTGAGAGAGTTGCATTATCTTCTAACATAAATTGTCAGTGAATTGAGAAAAGACGTTTTGGAAGCTGATCTGATTACTGTCAGGGAAAGTGCTCAAACTCAATTGTTGGCAAATGTCCAGTACCCATCACTGAACGATCATCACCTCATCATTCAGCCTTCTCAACTGACATGCAAAACAACATCCAAATATTCATTGCACATCTGTGCTGGACAGATTATGCATTAGCAATTCAAATCAATTCAATGTACAGGCAGTTTCTGTAAAGGCGTCTGTTTGGGTGAGATGCCTTGTTGTCTGGGATGGATAATAAGGCAACTCTGTCTAATCTTGGAGAACAATCAACCCATCTTGAGAAGGTGACTGACTACGTATGCTCTTGCCCTGACAGCACTAGAACAATGGCCCCATAATGCACTTGACTCAGCTGGTAATAAAATCTACTTTTGATTAGCAGCCATGGCTTGTGTCAATCACTGCATGATGTACCATTGTCCTCTGGTCCTGAACACAGTTTATTTACAGGGAAACAAAAGCTTTTTGGATATGGCTGCTGCCCAGAGATTGCAAAATAGATTGAGCTGTCAGCCTCACACACTAGATGAAGATTAATGAGTTGTGCAGACAATAAATATGAAGCAATGACCATAAATATGCTAATAGGTATTATCCATATACACTATAATTGCTACAAAAATTAAAAAGTAGTGTGAAGGAAATAGGTCACAGGGTGACAGATAGATAATCTTGGATGCTGAAGATCTTTGGTTCAGTCAGATTCTCTACAGGTTTATTTCCTTCAATTAGACCCTTCAAAAGAGTAATTGTTTAAAAGCTGTTTGAATAATCTCTTTTGAAACAGAGGTTTATGGGAAAATGTTTATGAAAAAGTGACTTCAATGAACATGTTATTGGAATGAAAAAGGTGACTACCAAAAGCTGGCTACGCAGAGATTAATGTCTGTGATCAGCTGCCCAGCTTCACTATGAGGAAAATATCTCTAAGTGGCACACTAGTGAGTACTTCAAGGAAAACATACTGAAGAGACACAGTAGTTTATATCCACAGACACGAGTGAATAAGGTCATTCCTGAGTAAAATACAGAAGAGTTGCATGCACATCTGGTTGTGTTGGTTTGTTTGGTCTGTTCAGGGTAGCACGCTTTTCTCTTTTCTTTTCTTTTCTTTTCTTTTCTTTTCTTTTCTTTCCTTTCCTTTCCTTTCCTTTCCTTTCCTTTCCTTTCCTTTCCTTTCCTTTCCTTTCCTTTCCTCTGAAGAAGGGAAGGATGCCCACAGCTGAAATTGTCAGAGTACTGCTGATCAAGCCTCTGGTTGTCCACTTCCTTTCAAAGAGCACACAATCTAGACAGCACATAATTTCTGACACTTAATGATTTCATTTGAACCTGGAACTCAGAGAGTTAAACATCAAACTATGTTAATGACATGCTTCAGCACCTAAGTCTACTGAGTTTGTAGTGACACTGAAAATAAAGGCAGTGGTACTCTTGGTATTCATGGCTTTGACTCTATGTTCTCTGAGACTTGGAAGTACCACTGGATGCTTTTTGGGTCAACTCACACTACCCATCTCCTGTCCTCAGCTTCTGGAGCATGGAAATGACTGAAGTGCTCTCCCAGGTACAATTTACTGTTATAATGTCAGGCTTAGTGATACAAATGAGTTATTTTCTCTTTCCTTCATACTTTAATGAGGTTGCATCAGTTTGGCTCTTAAGTTAGCACTGTTCGAATTTTTGGCAGTCCACAAAGACGTACAACTGCCTCAGTGCTTCTGTACCAGGCTCCCTGCAAACTCAGCTGGACATTAACTACACTTGTCTAACATCTTCAAAACTGCACTTTCTAACCAGAAATACCAGTAAAACAGCAAAAAAATGTAGGGGACCATTTAGGAAAATTTTTCACACAAAGCCAGCAGGTCAGAGGAGAAGCACTTCTTTCTGGATGAATCGGTGGAGAGAGAGGACTTCTGGAAGATGTGAGCTCAGGGACTGAGATCTTGTTCCCAGTCCCACTTCAGCAGTGACACTGGGTCTTTTTAAACAGGAGGCTGTGATGTTAGTCATGTCACATGTTGCCAGGGTGCAGCAAGGCCCTGCGCCACCACCCCAAGCAAGGTGAGCACAGCAGACCCAGAGATGATAGGGAGGTTGAGCCAAGAGTCCAAATCACCAGGCAAGTTTGCGGTGATGAGGTAAGTCTGAGGTCAAGCCAGAAACGAGTCAGCAAATCAGGTTCAGGTCAGGTGATGGTAGCCAGTGTCAGTCACAGTCCAGTGATTGCTGGGCAAGTCTATCCTTGATAACCAGGCAGATCCAAGGTCAAGCCATGAAGACAGGCTGAAGCTCAAGGTATATCACATGAGGTACAGCTGCAGACAGGTGCATCTACAGCATCACTCAGGCAGGGAGGCCCAGGGGAGTCTGGCAGGGGCTGCTAGGACCTCATAACAGATTCAGCCCTGATACAGGTACAAGCGATTGTCCTTGTTTTTACTCATTTTCATACAAGAGATCGTCCCAAGCTTTCATAATAAGCTGAAAACAAGTAAAAGCAAACTCCTTCCAGGTCAGAACTTCTCCATAACTTCCATTTGCCATGCCATTACAGTAACAATAGCATGAAGGTAGTCAGAGCTCACCTGTTTTTAGCACCATGTCATCTGTGCCTACTCACAGGTTCCTCATCCAACTCACTGCAACCAGATAACAGTTTTTAGAGCCACCTCCTTGCTATGTCCACGTCACACTTCTAAACAGAGGCTTCCCTTGAATCCCTTCGGTAGTTTTCCTCTCCTTATTACATGGCCTTGTTTTTATGAGACTACCATTAATTTACCCTTTTCCTGCTTATTCACTGATGTCTCTGCCAAGCATGAATTGCCTTGAGGCACCTTGCTTACAATAAAACTTTTATTTTATCTAACTTTAACTATTTTTAGTTAATCAACTTTGTGTGTATCCATTATGAATTGTGTTTTAGGACTGAGTAAAAGGTCATCACATATAGAGTCTCTGCAACTTTGTGAAGCCTTAATTTCCCATGGCTTTGCCGTACTCGATCATCATTTCCTGAAAGGCTGTTTGGAATATTAAATAAATTATATTAACAAAGCCCCAAAAGATTTTAGCAGTTTTGAAGGAAGGATCTGTAGTAATATGTACAAAGAAAGTAGCAATTTTGGTTTTGTTGTCACTTTAAAGAGGGCCTATACCATTAATTATCCTATTCTTACATGGAATTTTACTTGCAGTTAAGCTGTAACTTTAGATATTTTACAAAATTAAGTAATTCAAAAAGATAAATGAGAGACCTGAGAAATTATGAGGATAAAGATGTATCATAATTACAGAAGCCCTAGTGCAAGCCAAGTAGAAAATAGAAATAACAAACATTCGAATTAAACTAACATACATGAATTAAAGAAAATTTGAATGAAAGAAGAGAGTTAAAAGAGCAGTGCTGCTCAGGTGTAAATGGGCCAGATATCCCACTGGTCAGATAAACCGCACATATAAGAAGAGAGGAATAAACTTTGTATCCTTTGTTCTATAACCCACCATGTACAAGCTATAGATATTATAAAACCATTAAAATTCTTTATTTTTATTCTGTATATTTCCACTTGAGAGACATCCCTGTAGTAGTGTGGCATAATCAGATATTCTTCTTTATGTATGGGAGGAGGCCCACTTATTTTTAAACAGTCTTGTTTAAACTACTGGTTAAGAAAAACTGTGATAGAGGCATGTGTGCCATTTGCAAAGACCTGTTCATTAAAGATGGAGGCTCTGCTTCAGCAGGATTTGCATGAAGAAGAACAAAACATCTGTGTCAATCTGCTTGTATGACACAAGGTCCCCTAACAGTTCCTTCCATAAAGAAATTAATTTTAACCATCCGTTGTTAATTAAGTTCTGATTTCCTGCTCTTTTTAACCCATTGGGGGGGGGGGGATAGCTGTACCACAGCTGAAGTCTGAGTGCTACAACAAACTCAAGTTTCAGTTTCTGCATGACCACCCTATTGCTGCCTTTTTGTCTATTGTCTTTACTCAGAGTTGTAATAATTCTTAAAATGAGGGGCTATCTTCTACAGGTGCAATTCAGTATGATAGATAGCAGTGTAAAAGAATGACTAAGAAAAGTTCTCAGCCATTCAGTTGCCAATCAGTGATTCATATAATACTAATTTGTTTTATTATCATAAGAACAAATTAGTCTGTTTGCTTAAACTTTACCCTGATAACAGCAATAAAAATACAAGTTCATAAAAGTTTCAGTTTCTTTTCCTGGGTGAGGATAACTGATTTTGGTAACAGTTTCATTACTTTGCTGTGATCTAGAGTGTATAAAAAGACTGGCTGAGCCACATAATGCTTCAGTGGATTCCATACCATCAGAAAGCAAGATGTCTGACCAAAACGTCCACAACGCTGGTTTCACTCCCTCTGGGATCAGCAGAGGATCACTTGCTTCATCAATGATGTCCCAGGAAGCAAGAGCATCTGGGGGCGGCGTGCATTCAGGAGGCCCTACTGCTACTCTCCAAGAAATGGGTATGCACAATGTTGTGTTTGTGTGGCTTTGTGGCTTAACGCATAGGGACAAACATTTTTTTTTCCTTGAAAATAAGCTTGCCAAGTAATTTCTTCTCTCCTACATTCCTGTATTGCACTGAAGACAAAAGATTCCTATATTTAACTTCATGTTATGAGTGGGATGCTATTAAGGGTGTTTTCTGTGTATGTACATATGCATGAAGGCACGCATACATATGTGGTATTCATGAGATTCCAGAACAGTGTTTATTTGAAGTTTGTGCTATCTCCATTCAGCTAGGAATCATCAATAATATGGAAAGTCGTGGTAGCCATAAGCAAAGATATACTTATGCAAGAACACGATCTGTGTACCTACATTTCATATAAATTATCAGATTTCCCTTGCTCTTTACTCACAGACATCTATACAGGGACAACCCATAAAACCTTATGCAAACGCCATAGCAGAGGGAAATTAGCTGCAGTTCAAGAGCTGAATTCACTAAGGGAATATATACACATCCTTGACAGCACATATCTAAGTACTAAAATTAGGCATAGCTGGCTTTCACATGAGCTAACACTGCAGGTGCTTGCTTTTCTGTTGCATGCGCAGAGCAATCTCTGACCTGATGACTCTAAGCAGTTTGGCACTTGTTTAACCCCAGATCCCGTGGGATTCATGCACAAGGTATTCTCCCTACCGGTTCTGTCTGTGTGACCAGATTCCGCAGACCACCTCTAAGCAGGCATAACTCCACAGAAGAGAGTGCCCCATGTAATCCTGCTTTACTCAGCAGCACAGTAGTTAGATCTCTGACTTTGGATAAAGGCTTCAAAAACCCTTTCTGCCTTAGGGGTCTTGGACTCACATCTCCCACATGTAAGGAGCATGCTAATCCGCAGGCTGGTTATAGGGGGGGAACTCTAACATAGAGGTCAACCTCTGGTCTAATTCTTTTGTAGTAAGCAGCTAGAAATCTACTGAAGGATGGAGCTAAACCTGACTCTTCCAGCCATAAAATGGGTGGTTGGCCACGTGAGCTGGCTAGGGTCCAGATTTGCAGCATCTTTTAACAGTAAAAAATGTGATAAACTTGATTAAGAGGAGGTAAGTTATTTTTTTAAGATACGATTTACATTGCTGCCAATATTATTCATAGCATGAGGCTCTCTAGACAGTGAGGGAATAAGTGACCTAAGGGTCATTTAGAGATACTGCATGTGACTCCTGTGAGGCATTTTTAAATTTTTACTCTGTATGATTCGATCAGTGAGTTTAGGTTACTGAATAGAGTGTTTATTGAATATTCAATAGCAAAGAGCTTAAGGTATGGTAGCAGCAGAGGAACAGAATATGAGAGAGAGTCAGGAGAGGAGGAAGACCCAGGGAGTAAAGAGCAGGAAGAGATGCTCTCAGGCAACACACTGCATTAGCAGCAGAAATCCTGGTATACAAGAGATGCCAGTTACATAATCTAACCATACACTAGAGTCAGCTGCACAATCTTGCCTTCTGTTACAGATAAGGGTGGTACAGCAGTATGCAGCACACCCATAACCAGTGGCAAACTCTTCAGTGGCGATGCCCTATAGAGAGCATGAACTTGCAGTTTCTAAACTAAAAGACTGAAGACTTGTATCACACCATGTGCTGACAATCTTTAGAAGAGAGAGAAGCATAGTAAACATTTAACAATACCTAGTTTTACTTTTGTAATATCTGTATCAGCTGTGGACTTTGATGAAAACCACTAATTTGGTGAAGAGAAATCTGAATGACTCAAGGAAATCTTAACCATGCCTACAGGAGATACTCCAAAAGAGCTTTTATCCATGTGAAAAATGCTAGCTCTGTAACATTGCCAAGACAGGTGTGAGTTTTGGCTCCCTGCAGCAGGAGAGCTTGCCACACATTCTTTGCCTGATTGAGAGCTAAAAGGGCCTGATTTCATTTCCGCAGGTGCTCAGTGAAATCTCTCACTCTTCAAACACATCTTCTTAACCTTTTCATTCAGACTGTAACCCTTCCTCCCCCCAGAACAAACATGCTCGAAGAAGCAACTTACTCTGCAGCAGGGCATGAGTATTGTTCAATATCACTTTACAGAAGATGTTATAACAAGCTCATCACCAAACTCTTTGAGCACCCTCCAGGAATGCTTTAAGCATTATTGCTAACGTTTGTCATCACTAATGTTTTACTTCTCTCCCAGGAGAAGATTTTGCAATAGAATACTTTGCTTGGGGCTTATTTATACTGAGATGGAGATATACATATAAATTGGTCACTGGCTATTACAGCTTGCGGTGTTTGAATTTTACAGGTATTTATTATGCATAGGTATGTGCTATGGAAAGTGAAGTGAAAGGAACATATCTGTCACCTGGAACAGTAAGGGTGAGGTGTGCAAATATCTTTATCTCCTGCAGGAGTTTGCTCCACAGTCCTCAGGCAGCTCGTCAGAAAATTGCAATTTCAGCAGAGAACTGAAACTGTTCTGGAGGTAAAAAATTATCAAAAGTAGTCTGTGAAAGAACATCCACGAAACATTTCAAATGTCCTTTCCCCAAGGTGGCAGCTAAAAAGCAGTATACTGATGAAACAAGTCAAGTAATCAGCAGTATCCTGGTCTTTTGATACATTTGGTAGCCTTGAATTTTTTAAAAACAGAGTAGGTTATAATTATCCCACAAGGTTCCGCCTAGTCAATAACATCTCCTTTGTAATTGTTCTAGGTGCAAGAGGCTCAACCCATTCATCAGGCTTTACCAGCAGCGGGATCTCCAGTGGATCCCAGGCCTCCCAGATGATGTCTCAGGAGGCCAGATCTCATGGAGGTGAAACTCCCAGGGGTGGTACAACTTCCACTGTCCAGTCCATCTGTAAGTGAGAGTCATTCTGATAAAAAAGAATTTTAACAGATATCTTCTGAGAAGTCAGCAGTATTTCAGCTCAAATGGGCATTTACTGGATGAAGAGATGTAAATAAGAAAAGTGGCTGCACTGTACTTAAAGCAACATTTCTCCTGATTGTTGCTTTATACTTGGTGAGAAGCTGAAACTAAGGAATTAGTGGAAATAACTGCCACAAAGTTGCAAAGATATGGGTGGGTAGCAGAGACAGAAAGCTGAAACACTAGTCACAGCAAAAAAGGCTAATGGAAGTTTAGCTTATGCTTTCATCAGCACCACAGTGGAAATCCATTATTTTTTTTCAAACACAAATTCAAGAGATTCACATTTGAACATAAAAAACACATTAAGTGGGAGGAAACTGTGAAACACGAGAATGGAGTTATCAGACTGACAGTCAGGAAGCATTAGTCCACTTCTTGTGGCCTTTTAGAAGAGTTTAGATTTCTCTCCTTTAAAGGAAATTCACTGGGTCAAAAACAAAGGGAACTACATGCACTTGCCATCTCAAAGCAGAAAACAACACAGGTTTTCCTCGTCACCCTGATAAGTTAATGCAGTCCCCACCTAGATAAATCAAACCAAGGTATGAGGAAGCCTAATCTATACCTGAATGAATCAGTAAGGATGCTAATTATGGTAGTGGGATCCTCTGGGATTTAGAAGAGAAACGGAGACAGGACTGAAGTTCTTAATTTCAAAAAGTGTCTTTCAAAGTGTAACACACACCTTTGGTTTCTGACCTGGGAACCTTTGTAGCCAATGCTCAGATATTCTGTATGTTTCTCTGTACTGCAACATTGCTTCAAGTTGTTGTTGTTTTTATTTGTACTTAGCAATGGGTGGCAAAGGAGGAAGACACTGAATAGCAGAAAAGCATCGGTCCAGAACCAAGCTCTGCAAGCAGTTCATCCTTTAACAACAGAGTCATTATTTCAGCTTCTCCCCTTCTTTGCTCTCCCCATCACTGACATGAAAGGCAAAGCCTTTTACACATGCATGAATAAAGTTTCTATTAAAATGCTGGACTCTTGCATTAAATTAGTGGGGACAGGGTGGAGGCACATACAAACACAAGCTGATAAATGGAAGCTAAGGCACTTTGGACTGCAAGGGCGTTTTACAAAAATCCTGGGTGTAACAACACTAGACTCTGAATTCAGGTAGCTTGCTTTGTTTATTTTACAAAAAGTGATCACAGTGCAAAAGTCAGCCTGTTGTGAGAGGGAAGCACAGAAACACTTGATAAGAGGCATCCAGCAGTTTGCTTTGGATGCACTTCTAATGGGCTATCAGATTTAATTGTACTTAATTAAAAATGCACGTAAGGAAATGAGAACAGGTCCCAAGGAATGTCATACCTCAGAGACGTATTTGTATGTGTCTAATATTTCTAAGGTACCTTTCACACTAATTTAATTTCAAGACCCTGTTTGTTTATTGAGAGGTGTCAGCTTTGTCACAAGTGGACCAAAGCTACTCCTGTAAAGTTTTTGTGATACCTGAGAACAGATAAGGAAGAGAGCCATCTTCTCTGGTATAAGTCTCATTATTGGGGCCTCTTGCTATTCCCCACACATCTGACTTCTTTCCTTCATATGTACTCATATGATGACATTTCCCCAAATACATGTAACATTGTCTGTTCCCTATACAAATTCCTACGTATGCACTCCCACACAGCTCCATCTTCCTCCTGTCTTCCTGGGTCCTCATCTGTCCTCCCCGACCACCTCCATCCCTCTGTATTTCTAACAAAACCACACAGTGCAGTTTCTCCTTCCCCTTCCCCACCCCATTCCAGAGGGAAAGAATCTCAAAAATTCAGACCAGAAGTCAAGAGTTGCTGGGTTTGTGGTGCTGCAGTCAGTGATTTTCTCCAACAGCTTCTATCAACCAGCTTGAGCATTCCCATCTCAGCTGCATCTCTTCATGGCTGGGAGATGTGTTTGTACCCATGCACCTCATGCTCTCAGATACAGTCTTCTCCCTCCTACACAGGCACCTTCCTGAATGGACATGAGGTCAGTGTTTGCCTTCAGTTGCAGCAAAGTTAAATTGACATATTTGATGAGGGGTAGAGTGCTAGCATGGAGGAGAGGCTAATGAAGAGGGAAAGAAAGATATCTTCATTTGAGGTGCTATGCAAAGTATTAAAATGCAATTGAAAATCAGTCTTCATTTCATGGGATGGAACTGCTCTTCTAGCTTGGGCAAATGCTTAAATGTAACTAGTGCTTGGTCATAAAATCATACAAATATTTAATTTCAGAGAGACCTTGGTGTGAGGTGAATGGGGGCAGTTCTCTAGTTCAACTTTCTGCTCAAAGTAGGGTTAACAATATTAGACTTGTTCGCTCAGGGCTTTGTCCAGTCAAATTTTTTAAATCTTCAAGGATGCAGATGTCACAGTTTCTCTAGGCAACCTGTTCAAGAGTTTTACCACTCTCACAGTTGAGATTTCCTTCCATATGCTGACATAAAATTTCTTTTGTCACAAAGTAGCACTTACCACAATAAGTACATACTTAATAGTGATGTATTTTAAAGTTTTACACTTTAGAGATTCACCAAAAAATATGCTTTCCTGAACTGGCACCTAAGCCTAAAAGTGGTGAAGATGGAACAAGAAACATCCTTTGCAGAGCTCAGTGCCTCCCAGTGCTGCTGCTGAGAACAGACTTGCTATTTGCAAATCACACACTGTCACATCAACGGGAATGGATGTTTTCTCTCTCCCCATACTTTCTGTATAATTACAGATTTAGAGATTTCTTTGCACAATAAGAGTAACTTATATTTATATGTTAGCTTTCATAGTTAAGTATCCTGAACTGTGTTGTTTGCTTCAAAGGAAACACAGCAACATAATCATACCTGTTGGGTTTATTTTCCTAAGGTCAGATACCTTTAACTTGACTTGGGTGGTAGTTTACACATTTGCATGCATGTGAAAGCTTCCCTGATCATTGTCTACATGCTGGCTATCTAATACTAAATTCTTTCCACTGCCATAAATATCTAATTGTAATATTGTTATTGTATGTAACAAATAAACACAAGGAGTGAAGAACATCATGCTCAGGTGAAATTAAAAAAAAAAAAAAAAAGCTGTTATGGAGTAAAAAATTAAAGTATTCAGGACTCAGAGACAACAACCAGACTCCACAGTCTGTGAATCTGACTGAGAAATGTGGGGCATGCTCTCTGAAATGGTATTTAAGATGTAATTTTCAGCCTTTCTTCCAGCCTGTCTCTATTCTCCTCTAGCATCTCTCCAGATCTCAGTCACCTCTCTGCAGCAATGATTTTCATCATTGCCCAGTGACTATTAAGCACAAGGCAAAAGGTTTGGCTGGACACAAACAATAGGACTTTAGAAACTGGTGTCACCAACTTGGGAAGAGGAGAGGGGGAGGCTGCTGGTTTTACTCTGATGAAGTTTCTGTCTGGTTCTTCTGTTGTGGTCGTCCCTTCTTATAACAGGCCTGCCTTTCCTACTGTCCCTACGAAAACAGCCTCCAATTAAGCAATCCCTCTTCCCTCTCATTTTCAAACCTGCTCCATAGTCGTCTTTGATCCCTTTTATGGCAGCAACCTCACAACTGCTGCAGGACATCAGCAGGGTGCTGTTACTTTACCACCTTGGCTCACCACCTGCGAGAGCTGTGTTGAAGCACTTTGCTGGCTTGGGCTCTGTCCCATGACCTCATGTCACCTCTAAAAAGGGCTACAGCAGCTTTGTCAAACAGCTACTGGTGTATAGGTAGAGAAAGCTGGCTACATGCCCAGGAGCACAGCAAGATTTTTCTAAGGCACTTAACGTTCCTCTCTCATAGCAGCTTCATCACAATTCTGCCATCTCTTTACACAGGAGGGGGGAGCATAAGGCCGGTGTAAGGCAGTGTGATTTTGACTGAATAGCATTTTATGTCTATTTACTACAGGTTAAAGGATGTGGGCAAGTAAAAGGCAAAGGAGAAGCTGCATCCTGTCTTTATTGATTTTTACAGATCACCAGTGATTCTGCTTTTGCAGCTTTGTCCACTGACAATAATAAAAATAAAAACATTGAAACCCCACATATTTGGCATAGCCTTGATGCATGTGTGCAAAACCAAACTCAGTTGTATTTAGGTTTGGGCTTGTACATGACTAATTACACCATCCTACACTTTCCTCCCAATGCCTAATGCAGCAGCCTATGACTACTGAAATATAGCTGCGGTCTATCAGCAGATCTTTATTCTCTTCTATGCCCTTAGCTCTGGCCTGAGGTACAGCAGGAAGGTCTATCCTGGCTTTTTCCCAGTCAGAGATTCCTCCCATGGTGCAAATGCCAAGGTATGCTCTCAGGGAACAGAAAGGATCTAGATTCCCACAAGCAAACATTCAAACACCTGCTTTAGCACTGATGATGCTGAAGTGAGTCATAACAATGAAACTAATGTCAGAATGATAAGAAATAGTAGAAAAAGTCAAACACATACAGAACTTGTCAGACCAACAGTTTTGTAAACTGAAGCTGTATTATCCAAGAAAAAAAATGTGTGATAATTTCATGAAAATTAAAGACCTTGCTTCTTATTTACTTGCAGAGGGAGAAAATTTAAAACTGCTTTTCAACTTTAATGTTGGCAATTCTTGACCTCAAGTGGTTTTGTCCTGTTAAAAATTTACTATCATTAGTCAGAACTGACAAAAGGTATTTATGTCTAAAAGAATGAAAACCAATCCAAAGCAAAGCAAGGATCCTTAATCACATATCATTTCACTTTTCAACACTTATGTGATTCTGACATTACTAGTTTGGATTATTTTTCACATCTTTAGATCTTGTGTTGAGAACTAGACTAGATAGCTTCAATGAAGCAGGGAGCATCCTTAGCTGCATCTGAATTCAGTCAACGGAGTCAGCTCTGTTAGATCTACAGGAGAACAAAGGTAAATGCTTCCTCTTGAAAGCCTTACTCACAGACCACTTAAGCAAATTCATATGTACATTACTACAAATGAAGTATTTACATTTTTAACAGGATATAATTGAAAAGGTCAAATAACAACAAATATGGCAATCTAAATCCCTCATGTCTCTCAATCAATCTTTCCACAACAAATAGAGAGAGAGAGAAAGAAAGGAAAGGAGGCAGCAGTGTGATTACCAGAGCAATAGCACTGAAGCAATACACTGCGGAAAGCACAGAGCTCTCTGCACAGAAATCAATTTCTCCCATGGGATGGGGTCGATAGTTGTCTGACAGGACAGTATACAGGCAATTTAATAGCATTTTATCTAAATGAATCTATTCCTCCCCCCCACTGGCCTCACAGTTCATGAGAAGACTCTCCTAGTAAAACAGATTTTTTTTTTTTTATCATACAACAGGAAAGTATTTATCATTCTGAAGACACTACCATTTTCTATTAAAAATCATTTATCCCTGTTAATTACTCATTACCACAACTCTTGCCCAACATTGTTATTCTAATTAGTTAACTCATGCACACAGCCCATAAAAATTACCTTCAGTTACTCTGGAAACATTTTTCTTACCCCAAAACATTTTAAACTATAGATCACCCTTTCAGGAAAAATAAACCCACAAAGCAGGCAAACTCAGTTGACTCAAAGGAGTATCAGTATCTGAAATGATGTTTTTATGCAAGAAAAAGCTTTTTTTTTTTTTTTTTTTTTGAGGAATGCATTATACACAGAGATTGGTTGTCCAGTGTATTTATTTTAATAGTATTTAATAAATAATAAAGCCAAGCTGATCTTATTGGTGGGTATCTGTGTGAAGTAAAAGGTAATGAATGAGAACCCCTAATAAGCATAATTCCAAGGATGGATCTTTCGCACGCTGGGAGTATGGTATTGTGCCCCAAAGGCTCTTGTAAATCCAGCTGCAGTTCTTGCTCATCATTTAGAAGATTAGGGGCTGATAAGCGACAGTCAAGCCTTATTAGAACAGACTAATGCAACA